ACATGCCTGGTTCTCTAACTTAGATCCCTCTTAGGGTCCTTGTTAGAGGGGTGCCGTAGTATATTTGGGACTTAAACATGCGCCCTAATTCAGAGAACTAATTTAGAGAACTACCCTCATGTTATGTATTCTGGTGTGGGAGCTCCCCAGGCCCTACATCTCCCCAGCGAGCCCAGAGACCTTCTCCTCGAATGGTACACCCTACATCTTCTGAAGGATCCTTCTCCAACCTCAAGGCTCCTTATTATTATGGTTTCTATATAGTTCCTCAATGAAGCAGGTCTTTTGGGCCCCAGGTAAACCCTACAGGAGATTCCCAGATTCCTGTCTCGAAGTTTCCATGGAAATCTCAGGCCTTGAACCCTGAACCCTAAGCCAAAGCCTCAGGAGCTGTTGTCAGGGATAGTTTGGGGGGTCTTTGGGACCCGGAGCTACTTCGAGATCCCATGCCCAGAACCAGAGCCCTTCATGAGGGAATATGCCCTCATCCTTGTTTAGGTCCTTAGTAGGATCTGTAATACAAGAGGTGGTAAGTTCCTCATTTATTGGCTTGTGGGCTTCCGTATTAGCTTCAAGACTCTATCCACACCTCACGCCCTGCAGACAACAAGATTCTCGAAAGCCTTTCGCAAGAGGACGGCGACGAGGTCTATGAGTTCGGTGCGCTCTCCGCTAGGCCTGGAACGACAGTAGAACGAGTTGCACTCATAAAGAATGTGTTATAGTTGACCATCGTACTAGTGATAGGCAGCGGCCATCAGCACAGCATCGTCATATCACTTGCCGCAGCTTGAACAATCATGACGACACAGTGGATACCGATCAAGACGTTAATCAGGCGTAATAACATGGCACCAACAAGGGCCGCCAGACGAAGAAGGAGAGCACACCAGCAATACCCACACCCTCGGGAGGATCCAAAACATAGATGCCTTACGACGGCTTCTTGCAAACATGGTTAGTAACATGTCTGGGTATGGCGTTAGACAGTGGCATCGTTCGAACATTTGTTCAAGTACTTTAGAAGAAGGCTTGCAATTGTTGAGAGGGTATGTTATCATGTAGTTGTATAGGGATTGTAAGAGCGCATGTTTGCTAGATATCCCTAACTTCAGGTGCTGAGTAGGAAACCATTGCCAAAAGTGAAAGCGACTGGCCAACCACAAGACTCGTCTTCCTGCTTGAGTTCCTGTCGGAATTGACGACCATGGACGTGGCAACACCACATATCTGACCGGACCTGCGAGAACACAGATTGAAAGCAACCCTCAATTGACACGTCTTGAGCATGACCGGCCCTGGCCGTGTTTGAGGACAGCACACGCCCTGAATGAGCAGCGTGTGGACATCGCACTGCGCTTGGGGACGACGCCCATCATCGTCGACAACACTCACATGGAGCTGTGGGAGTCTCGGGATTGGGATTGTGCAACTTATTGGGTGCGAAGTTTTGTAGACCCGTTTTCTGTTTGGGCTTGGAGACCTCAAAATCTAGGGATATACCTTAAACAGCCTCAAACCCTAAGGACATGAACACCATGAAGGGGTATATAAACCCCTTTCGAATGAGCAGAAACCCCTATGTTTCTTAATCAAACGAGCGCCCCCTTGGGCTCTCTGCGAGCATTGAGCTCAGGAGATGCAGAGCTACGTTTCCCTGGCCCTCAGCTGCCGTTACACCGTACGTGTGGTGGAGCCGGCGGCCTTCAATCCTGAGTGGCGTCTAGGTTGTATCGATTTTAAGATATTTTAAGGAAGTTTCATAGATTTCTGTAAGGTCCTTATAGGATTCTCTGTAAGGGTTTCAGGGTTTCAAGACGGTTTCATCGGGCCTTTGAGGGGTTCTGGCGGGGAACCCAGGAAGGACGTGGTCCACCTGATGCATCGCAACGCCCAGCGGGCTCAATCCGGAAAGAATGTTCCGGTGGAGGTGCTCAAGAAACTGGGCTCTTCTTCAGACACACAGCATAAGATTTATACCCAAAGCCCCTAAGCTTTCAACCCCAAACCCCTAAACACCCTACCTTAAAATCCAGGAACATGGTTGGGCTCTGTGGAGGTTTTGGGTTATCCAAGGAAAATGCTGGGCCGATTCCAAGCCTAAACCCCTAAACACCCTACCTGAAAAATCCAGGAACATGCTGGGCCGGTTCCAACCCTAAAGCCCAACACCATGCATTAAAATCCAGGAAAATGCTGGGCCGATTCCAACCCTTCTCTGGTGATCTTCGGAGCATCGCTGGCGCTCCCAGGCCGGAGCCCTCGGAGACCCAGGAACTCCGGATTGACTCCACGGACGGCTGCAGCTACACCCTCCAGGATCTGCCCTTAAAGGTTATGGTTCTTAGGGGCTTTATGGGATTCTATAGGGTTTTTATGGGATTCTATAGGGGCTTTATGGGATTCTATAGGGTTTTATGGGGTTTAAGATGGTTTTGTAGGACTTTGCACGGTCACAGTCCCCAGACACTGCCCACCAGGACTTCGTAGACGAGTACGGGGGCTCCCAGGAGGATCCTCCCAGGCAGGGACTAAGGTAAAGAAGCACAGCAAAGAAACGATGGAAGCAAAGCAGCACTCGCAATATCATGCTTCTGAAAGGAAGATCGAGACCAAAGATAGCGAGAAATTGAATTCCTAACAACCTGATCTGATCTGTAAAGCTGTAGACTCAACGTGAGCTCCCCAGAATCTAGCTTGCAGCTTGCAGATTCCAGGGAAGATGCTTGTTCAGCCATTGTAGCCTGCCTAAGCCCCGCTTAACCCTCCAAGAACCATGCTCCATGCCTCAACCCCAAAACCCAATCCCGTCCAAACTCGGCAACACAGAAACGGCAAAAGCGTTATCCAGAAGCATAAAGCATATATATATATATATATATATATATATATTCATATCTATATATGTATATACATACTCTATATATATATATACTATATAATATGTACTATATACTGTATACTTTTTAGTCTAAAATGATCCCCAGCCCTCAGGGAGTGGGTCGAAGCTGTGCGGGCGCCGAGAGCGATCAAGGCGTTTGCTGCAAATCGAGTGGTTTTTGTAGTTTTCAAAAGCATATGACGCATGGTTTATATTGCCGTTTTGGTGAGTGTAGATAAGGCTCCTTTTGAATATTGGTGAGTGTATATACGCGGTTCTAGTATGGGGATACTAGTAATATAAACCATGCTCAATATGACATGAATCATCGGATATCACGACTATCACCCTTAAAGGGACGAGGTGACTTGGGGATAAAGGGCAAGAGGTTTTTTACAGCTTTTTTTTTTCGAAGGCCTCTCGAAGCTGTATAAGGGTTTATACGCTTTCCTTAGAGGGCTTTGGGGGACTTAAGTAGAGTTACCAGTATTCTACCAGGTTTTGTATCCTACGGTATACTTCTGTTTATCATCACCTGCCAACGCACAACCCTAAACCCTAAACTCCGCTGCCCTTAAACACACTGTTAATGGAACCAAACCCTAAACCCTAAAGCCTGTTGACAGAAACCCCCGCAGACTTCACTGGGAGGCCCGGCCCAGGCGTAGCGAGAGCTCTGGGAGTTCATCCTCCTCCAGTCGCTCTTGCCAAGAAAGGAAGAGGAGGAGGATCAGCCGTGGTTTAGATATCCTTGAAGGGTTCTATCAAGGTTAAAACAAGGGTTCTACAATGTAGGGGCCTTAATAATTCGAAGCTTGCGTTCATGTTGTTGGTATAAAGTGATGGAGTCTTATCGGCTTTCGCTCCAAGTTGTCGTTTTGGACTCCGTCGAATCGTTTTGCATGTTGAAACAGAACGAAATATGTGGTTGAACAGAACTCTTCCCCAGACATCTTCCTAATTGCTTTGCGTATTGGGGCGTCCCATAACATGACTCCTCCTAATTATGGTGGTCTCCGCCTAATCGTTTTGCTTGCTGACACAGAAGGAAATATGGTTAACAATTCCATTCCGCTGCGGCCTTTCCAAGACTTGAACAAACATGTATGGTTAACAAGTCCATTCCTTTGGGACCCCTGAACCACTATGAACTCCCCAGACATCCTCCCAATTGCTTTGCTTTTTGGGGCGTCCCATAACATGACTCCTCCTAATGTTTGGACCCTTTCAATTGTTTTGTGCGTTGAAACAGAAGAAAAGATGGTTAAGAAGTTCATTCTGTTGGTTCTTTTTTGACTTGAAACGCACGCATGGGCAGCAAATCCGTTCAGGTTGACCCTCCAATCTTTTCAGGCAAACAATGTCCCCCAAACATCATCCTATTTTTTTGCTTATTGGGAAGTCGCATGACATGACTCCTCTTACTTGTTTGGACTCCTCCGAAAAGGAAATATGGTGAACAAATCCAAACCATCGGACCCGACCAACCATTTGAAACAGACATGTAATGGTTCCTTGAACGTCACCAGTTACAAATTTCGTGGCAGCCGTGGTACTTTCAGCATGCAAGACATCCAGAAATTACTTCCCCGTTAAGCCCTAAACCCCTAAACCCTACGCCCTAACACCACTCCAACCGTTATAGTTCCCTCAGGCTCCTCGGGGACGGCCGGCATTTTCCATTTCCACCAGTGTTTGTCCATTTTTTTAATATCAAAGAAGGGTTGAAATGAAAGATGCTGCCCTCCCCGAGGAGTCCCAGGGAAGTAAAAAGGTTGAAATGGCTGAAATGGAAAAGGCTTTCGATTCCAACCATGTTTTGGCCTAAGGTAAGAAACGGTTGAAATCGAAAAAGCGTTTCCATTTCAACCATTTTGGATCCCTTTGGCTTTTCCTCAAGGCCCGACTTACCATTGCAACCATTTTTTTCATTTTCACGTGGCAAAACGGTTGACGCGGTAAATCGGGCCTTGGGGCTTTTCCATTTCAACCATTTCAGCCATCTTAACTCCTTGACGCTCCTCGGGCAAGGCCGGCATTTTCCATTTCAGCCACTTTACCACTTTCAATCAACAATTGTGGGTTCTGGTGACATATCTACTCAGGAGCCCGAAGAAGCGGTCTTATGGGCTTGTCCATTAGTGTTTAAGGGTCTAGGGTTTATTGACAGCAATGTTCAATGACATTAATTCGGGTTTAGGGGTTTAGAGTTTACTGTTTAGTGATATTCGTCAGGGTTTAGGGGTTTAGGGTTTCTTGTTTAGTGATTCTTCAGGCGCCCACATTGATCGTTGGGTTTCGGGCCGTAGGGCGAGTTTACACCCAAGCCCCCACGCCCCCAACCCTAAACCGACAGGACTCAGAGCAACTCGCCTTGCAAGCTGGTTCTGGAAGCTCTTTGGGATGATCCGGCACTCTCCTCCTGGGAAGAGCGGCGTGCAAAACTGAGAGAACGCTACCAAGTGGAGGTGGAGGCGCATGGGATTTAAGGGTTTAGGATTTAGGGCTTAGGGATTTTCGGGTTTAGGGGTTAGGGGTTAGGGGTTTGGGATGTTGCAGGCTTTGTTGCTTTCAGGTTTTGGACTTCGGGATTGCTCACGTGCTGCGGCTTGGGTCCTATAGGGGTGATAGTTCATGAGCCGAAGAAGGCAACGAAGACTGGTAGCAGAAGACGAAGATTGAGAAGCATGTTCAGAGTTCGTATGAATTCATCATAGAACCGACAAGCCGCCAATTATAGGGGTCGAAAACTCGTGATACTATTCCTTCAATAGTGTAATACTGGACTTGAAGACAATTTTCAATCTTTCCAGTGCTAAATACCTAAACCCTAAACCAACAGGAGGATGAGAGGCTTTTCATCGTCTCTGCCGATCACAGCCATCCGCTTTGGTCGAGTGAGGCCCCGGATTTGAAAAAGGGTCGCAATTCCTCGAAGTTGTCTTCCCTTGTAGGTCTGAACATAGTTTGCATACAAGATCTGCCAAAACCCTACTCTAATCATTCAGGCCTTTTTGTTGAATAATCTTGCGGCGCTTTGAAGCTATTTCAGGGCAAGTCCGACTTCTGGTCTTCTGTCAAACGTGCAAGATTCAGGGTCGAATTTATTGAGCGTTTACCGGCTTTTTGTCTAAAGTTCAGAGCCGGCCGTTCAGAATCTGGAGTTGTATCCATGCTTCGCATCGCACGGTTTAGAGTTTAGGGTTTAGGGTTTAGTTTAGAGTTTGGGGAATCACAGGAAGCTCAAGTGCTGCGTGAGAACCGCGGCACCGTCTACGAGAAGTCTTCTGGAAAACCTCTCTGCCTGCCATTTTACAAGCGCCTTGGCCTGGTTTCGGGTTAAGGTTTAGGGTGTAGGGAGAACGCGAAATTTCAGAGATATGGCCAGCACAAAAGGTGAGGATGCTCTTGGTAGAGCAGCCCATTGATGAATCACAGCGACCGTCTTGATTATCATCATCGAGAGAGGAGTCCACTAGGACATGGTCATGATAACACGGCTATCCCTGATTTGCTAAACAAAATGAACCCTAAGCCTCAGCCCTGTAAACCCCAAACCCTTAGCCCCCTAATCCCAGACCCCGAGTCGCCTAAATCCTGAATCTTCCCTGAAACTGAGGTTCTGGAACAGGGGAGAACGCCTAGCCGAGCAGATTGACTGGGAGGATGGAGCCATTGCCGAGGCCATGTTCTCAGGGTTTTTGTGTTTTGGGGGCTAAGGGGCGCTATTTTAGGGTTTGGATTTTTGGGTTTGGAGGTTTCGGGCCCTTGGGTTTAGAGTTTAGCGGGCTGTTTTAATGAACTCTTACCCAGAGACTCCAAAAACCCCCATCAGTAAGGAAATTGAAAATGTTAAGGATCCGTCTATAATCTAAGGCATATTGCTTTTTGCGGGGTTGGAGTCTCTAGATACTAAGTCTTGCCGCATTGTCGGACTGCTTGCTGGTCCTGTCCTTCGGGTTTCGATTGGCGACTCGGCGTTCAGGGCTAGAGGTTGAGCATTTGCGCCTGTCGGGATAAGGGACCCCAATATAGACTGTTTCTGCATTCCAAAGACCTAACCAGAATAAGGTACCCGTATTCGAATCGAAGGATTCAGACGTCTTATACATTATAAGAAAATGTCATATCATATACTATAACACATAGAATATAATCCAAGTAAAGAAATATACTGCATTTCAAAAAAAGTATGTGTTTTTTTATTTTGCAGATATATTTATTTACGGAGCCCAGATCAAGTGCCGAGCAGGAGAAGATCGACGGTAACCTTCTGAAGCTCTTCTATTTCCAAGGCCATGGCCCAGCGCACGAAGATACCCGAAAGCCAAACTTTGCGGAGGGGCCTTTCGACCTTCCCTAAACCCTAAACCCTAACTTGAGCTTTCGGGGCTTCTGGGGTCACCAAAACCGGCCTGCAGTGAAAGCCTCGGCACTGAGGCTTTTAACCTACACCCTACATTGCTACACTGCCACACCCCTGTAAATCCACAGGAAGGCCCTTGAAACCCCAAATCCCTGCAAGCCTAAGCCCTTCAACCCCCAAAGCCCTAAACTCCACAACCCTAAACCCTGACTTAAGCTGCCTTCTCTTTGAAGCTTCGGCCCGGCTGAAGAGCTGCCAGCCTGTTCCGAGCATCGTGGGTTTCAGGGCTTGGGGTTTAGGGATTGGGGTGTAGGGCTTCGGGTTCCAGGTTTGGGGAACACGTGAGGGGCTTGTATTCGGGCTACTACAAGGGCAACGATATAGCTGCTACAAGTTTATGTGATGTCGGGAGAGTTCGACTTTTGGTGAGAGTACATAGGGCTTCTTGTCATATCATAACCCCTACCTCATATCGTCACAACGTGACTGTGAAGGTTGAGATACGGCAGAAGCAGTGAGAGCTTGCTAGTGCTTTCTGCCACTTTGATCATTACCTCAGAAAGCCTGAACCGTGAGTAATACGATTCCTCAATGGGTTCTTATTGCAAGAACCCTTCAGCAAGGTAAGTCTAGGATTCAGAGACCCCGACCTGACTGTGAAACTCCGAAAGCAAGGCATCTCATGTTGCGTTGGAGGTACTTGGCGCCTGGCGAGCAACCGGACGCTGAAGGCAGTGCCGGTGTTCTGCAGCCTCCGAAAGCAGCGCTCTCCTTGTTGATGGCGAGAATATCACTCTGGATAGGAGTAGCAGTAGTGGTGGTAGAAGTAGAAGTAGAAGTAGTAGTAGTAGTAGTAGTAGTAGTAGTAGCTACTACTACTACTACTACTACTACTACTACTACCAAGAAATCCCGTTGACCCAGGCTCGTTGGTTTTAGGCCACTGTCAGGAAATCAACGGCTTGTAGTGATGAGTCTTCGGACATTTCTTGTCCGGACGCATAGCTTTGGGTCGGAGGCGAGGGAATTCAGTTTCTGGAGCTGTCAGCCTCGTTAATCTACCCGCCCCTTCCATCTTGAGAAGGCTTTCAAAGAGAAGTAGGCGACACAGACCTTCGCAGAGTTTCAAAGGCAACTTGAACCTAATTGCTGGAGCTACACTGCAAAGCCGAAGGTTCATGAGCCCAACGACAAGTACGCCTGCACAGGAAGGACGAGGCTTTGACCAAACAGCGGCCTTTCACAGTTCAGCCACATTCTAGGAGTGTTCTTTCCGCACAGCTACTCTCTACCTGCTTGTCACACTTACTTTTCTGAAGCTCCCGTGTGCAGCAACTCTGTCCGTTGCTTTGTGGGCCGCACGCCCGAGCGGAGTGCGATGCCTTAGGAATTACCAGCTCTTTGCCGAAGCCGCGGCGAACAGTTCGCTCGATCACAGTCGCCTGGATCCAGGCCTCCGGATCGTCGCGGGAGGGTTCTGAAATCGAGAAGTGATTGAAGAAGAGGCTTTCTTCGCTCTCCCTTCGAAGGATTCGTGCAGCAGTGGGCAAAGAGACAGAGAGATGCATGCAGGTAGGTATGTATCTATATAACTGCATGTTGTCCAAAATACCAGAGCGACGCACCTTTCCGATGCCCCTCGGAGGCTGCTGCTACATGTTCGAGCGCGTCCATCCGGATTTCAGGCCTGTGCGGAGGGACAATTCTGCAGCAGAAGAGACTGTTAAACCTAGAATAGAGAAGCCGGATAGACAGTAACGCACGTCGGTATTCTACAGTCCTGTTCCGAAGATTGCTGACACGTCATCACAACACGTTCCCTTTTGCCCCCGCTACACACACACACACACACTGACACTTCATGTCGTTGCCGGTTCAGAGCCGTGGAGGGCTTCGTTGAACAGGGGTTATCTCGGTCTCTTCTTTTGGCGCTGCCGGGAGGATCGTGCTGGACTACCCTCGAGCCATGCTGTATCACATTGGCACCAGGGACATGAGGACATTGAAAGAGATCGATGTGCCTGGGCTGCCCGGGAAACCTCAGAGCCCAGAGCTCCAGGCTCCACCCACCGAAACGAAGCAAGAGGAAGCGAGGTGATAAAAGGAAAGCTTCGAATCCTAAACCCCGAGTCCCTGAACTCTGGAGCCAAGGTGGACATCGGAGTTCCCCGACCGAAGCGATGGGAGATACGAAGTGCCAAAGAGTGCCAAAGCTTGCTTGACTCCTTCCATGGATTCTCCGAGGGGCTTGTCGTGAGAATCTCAGCAGGCAGTGCTTGTTGGTTTGGGGTGGCGGGGTGTCGGGGAAGAAGCAGTTTAGGGTTTCGGGCTTAGGAGTCGAAAGGAGCGCTGGGGCACATCCAGGAAACTTCACATGCAGACCCCATGTCGGTTCTTTCATCTCGAAAAGGTCCACAAGAGCAACACTAACCAGATACAACTGAACCCTAGTCCCTACATCTTCATGGTATTACCATGATATTCCCGGTAAGAACCCTCTGGCTGATTTACCGAATCCTTCATGGCTTATGCTGGAGTCCTTGTGATGGATAGTGCCGGGTTTGAGTTCTCTCCTTCAGTAATTCAGGCCCTTACAGAGCCTTTGACGAAGCCCGAAAAGATCCAAAACCCACCAACTAAAAAATGCGCTTTAACGAGCCCGGCACCGCTCAGGAGATGCCAAGTACCGGCGGCAGAAGTGGAAAAGGCGAGAGCAACCAAGCAGCAGGTGTCAGAACGCCGTCTCTGAAGTAGCAGCAGCAGCAGCAGGAGGAGGAGTAGTAGTAAGTGTGGTAGCAGTAGTCGTCGTCGTCACAATCACAATAGCAATGGCAATCATCATAGCAAGAGCAAGGATAATAAGGACACCCTCGGTGTTTAGGTCTTTCAGGCTGGGAGGTTCAGGTCTAGGGTTTGGGGATCTCCGTATTGGAGTCAGTTCTCGAGCATTACGACATTCTTGTCAGCATTGAAGATCTCAATGACAATTTCAATAGTCTTGCTGCTACAATAAGCGACGTACAGATTTCGCCTACGATAGCCTGAAAGCCACAGGGTCAGCGAGCCCTTACGACAGCCCTGGGAGCCCGAAGTATTCTGATGGTGCGAAGCGCTTATCATATCAGAAGAGATACAGCATCAGGTTCTTGAACCTCTGCAGTCGTCAGTCGGAGCAACGATATCCGTCTCCGACAGATCAGGTACTTGCTGATGCACTCCGCTCGATACCTCGTTGGGGATGACCAGCCCTGCTATGCTTGGGTCGCGAGGAGCAGTGCAGCCGGAACTATGGACACGGACCGCTTGTGCCTGAATGCTGCCAGGCCATGTTGTGCAAAGACTCTACACTCGACTGGAGAGATTGCATCGTTGAACATGGCATCGTTTTTGGTCGTCTATCACTTCCGTAGCTATCACCTGTATGGTTGGGAGCGTCTGATCTTACGATCGCTTCGTATCATCTCACTCATCTTTGCTTCCTTGCGTTTGGCTACCGAAGGCTTGCTCCGGCAGTCCCCTAACAAGCCCCAAAACTTTCAACCTACAGCCTCAACTACCCCAAAACCCCCAAATTACCCTGAAGCCCTTCATCAATCGAAGCCCTTCAAACCCTAAAGAACTCGGCATCTCAGGTTTGGTTGAGGTCCGAGTCCTCCGAGTTTGCGGCGTACTTCCCTGAGGCGGAGCTTCTCAGACCTCCTTGCAGTAGTTGAGGGCTTACTTGGAGGATCATGGGACTTCGTAAGTAGGGGTATAAGTCCTTTAATTGGGGTTATAAGTATAGTTACCTTAGTTATAGCCCTACTTACTAAGTCCCATGATCCTTTAAGTAGGGTGCCTGTGGCTCAATAGAACGGGCTTAGGTAGGGGCCGAAACTAATTACCTATACTATTGGGGGGGTTCCTTGTTATAATTATACTGTAATGGGCCCCAAAATCCTATTCTAACTATGAAGGCCCCTATATTAGGGTACGAGGTTTAGGCTGTAGGGGTTTGATGATTAGAATGGGTTCTTGGAGTTTACTAGAGTAAAACTAGAATTAGAATGGGGGCCCCTAACTCCACCCCCGCGAAGCCCCAGCGAAAGGGTTATTCAGGTGAAAGATCAGGCAGTGACAAATTAGGGGTTTAAGAGTTTCGGGTTTAGAGGTCTCAGGGTGGTGGGATTAATCTGCGTGAGAACTTAAGAAAAGAGGCACCCCAAAATAGAGCCTAAATAGAAGTAGGTATAATCTTTTTGGTGCAAGTCCCTTAACAAGGAACCCCCCAATTTCGAGAAATCCCGCAAAAATGCACGAGCCCGCCACTAGAGCACAACCGCAGAAGTTGTGGACACGAAACATCCGCTGAGAAGGCCTTGGAGCGCTACAACCTGGTGCAAAGGCTCTTAGAGGAAGAAGGACAGGGTTCAGGGTTTCCCGGCTTAGGCGTTGAGGTTTTAGGGTTTAGGTTTTGGAGATGAGGTGTTTTGGGTGTTTAGGGTTTGTTACTTACGTGACGTGCTTTCGAAGCGTCGGTCTGGTGTTTGGCTAGTTTAGTACGAACCTCATCCTGTTGCCACTGCTACAATCACTTTGTCCTCCTTGCCGACATTTTCTCAGTATGGGCCTAAACCCTAAACCCTAAACCCTAGTATGTCTTGGCTTTGAAGAGAACTGCTCTGGCCAATGAGTATCTCTCGGCACTATGACTTCTGTCGTGGTATGGTTGGGGGCGCTCTCCGAGCGCCGATAGTGGGAAAGCCCTCAGTCAGAGAAGTTGAAAGTCGGTTCGGCTCCAGCCCGTTTACTTCAAGCACACAGCATATCTTCCATTTGAGAGGCTTTGTGATGTGTCCTGTCCAGACACACTGCGTAGAAGGTCGCCACGAAAAAAAAATCAAGCTCTTCCGAAATCTGCTCCGGCAACCCCACGAGTTTCAGAAGTCTCTGCCGGATTCGGTGCAGGACTCTGCGAGGGCCTCGGCGAGCGCAGAGAGCGCGAGCCTGGAAGCGGGCGCTTCCTTCACGAAGCGACGCTTTGGGAACGCCTCAAAGCAGCACTTCCCCAGACTGAAAAAGGCCGCCCTGAGTTCCGGGCTGCGAATGACGGAGCAGTGAGTTGCACATGTCCGGTGGACATGGAAGCTAGTTGTCATGAGTCGTTCAGAAGGTTCGAAGTGCTCTCTGGGAAGCAGCAGTCAAGTGTGCCGGTGAATGGACGCACTCTTCTGCTGGTCTTGATGCTGATGGCTTTGTAGCAAAGACACACTGAATCCCAGGAACCCACACTCGTACTCGTGAGAGAAAAGTTGCATGGCAGGTACCCACACATCGATGATAGGTTTGGATCCTGCGACCCTTCAGCCTCAAGGTTACAAGTTGCCGTGTGCTCGGCGAAGCGGCTCATGAAGCTCTAAGACTAGAGCCCTAGAGCCCCCGACTTTCATGAACAGAAGCGCATACAGTCTGCCCTGGATGCCGTGGCCGCCCTGGCCATGCCTCCCCTTTTCAAGCGGCGCAACCTCTATGCGACTGTCGGAGTGCACCGCTACGCCTCAGAACTGCAGATTCGTGCTGCCTACCGCCGCCGTGCTTTGGAGAAGCACCCGGACAAAGGCGGCAGCCACGAGGCATTTCTGGCTTTGATCAATGCTTTCGAGGTCCTCTCAGACCCGCGCGTGCGCGAAGTCTACGACCGGGACCTGGAGAGGCGGGGCGAACGCGATGGCCTGGGGCGCCTGAGGCGGGTCATTGACGAGCCGCCGCAGAGAGAGGCGGAGGTCTCTCCGCCTCAAGCGAAGAGTGCTGAGGAGTTTGGGCCCTTTGGGCCCGGCCCAGGCCAAGAGCAGAGAGAACCTCAGGCCAAGGTGGGAAGCAAAAGAGCTCGTCAAGCCGGGACGACGAGACCTAGACCGGAGTACTCCGAGGACCGGACTTTCGGCTGGGTTTTTCGGTTTGGGCTTTCAGGGTTGGGATCCAGGTGGCCGTGTGTGTGTGTGTGTGTGTGTGTGTGTGTGTGTGTGTGTTTGTGTGTGTGTTTGTGTTTGTGTGTGTGTGTGTGTGTG